ATGACTTCTGTTGTTGCTGTACAATAATATGCATTAGCTTAAATTAGCACCAAATATTACTATAATCGATACATATTTCATGCATTAAGTTCTTTACATTTAGCTTCTTAACTGTCATGAAAATGAAGTCACACTGCTAAAAATAACCTTAAAATAGGCTCCATTTTCTCTATGCAAAATATGATTGTTTTCTGTTGGTTTTGCGGTGAAACCCGGACATGTTTAATGAAATTCTCTGCATGTGAACTAAGATCAGCAGAGTTGAGTGTGTGTGTGTGTGTGTGTGTGTGTGTGTGTGTTAAAGTAAGAGTCTGTTAGGCTTCGTTCTGATCATCTCCACCCTCGCCAGAGGCGACACACGGGGGGAAAGACAGAACGTGTGTAAATGTGTGTGAAGGACAGCCTATATTCCTGAAGCTCTGGGAAAATCATTAGAGCGACTTCTGAAAAACATGTACCTCTAAATGTAAATCGATTCAGTCAAAGAGTGTCAACTTCAAATCAGATGTTTCTTTAAATACAGTCAAAACAAAATGTATTCAGACACCTTCAAAATTCCTCACATTATCACAGTTTATTCGCTATAGTGGTGATAAAATATGAGCAGAACTCAGTGGATGTTTGACTGGTTTTGTCCGTCCTTCTGTTAGACTCTCACACATGAATTATGTTGAATATCTGTCAGCTGTTAAATTTAACTACACAATTAGAGAATACCAGTTTAGCTCAACCAGTGACCAAGCAATGCTTCATGTTGTTCAGTCTGTGTGTAAAAAGAGCATTAGCAATTACAGAAAACACACTTCAGCAAAACATGATCAGCTCAAAGTGGAGGAATCATGTTTGGGTGTAATATGTCACAGTTTACTTTATTTTACTCTCCTCACTTACATATATGAACTATAGTGTAAAAATAGTGTATAGTGTACACACTAGTAAAAAAAAAAATATAAAAAATTATATCTGGTGTCTGAATATTTTTTGGTTTGACTGTAAATAGCAGCTCAAATCATATAATGAAAAAATGTTTGCGTTCACATTGAGATCTTCACTGTGGATGTCGTGAGCAAACGTGAGAAACTCACTCTGAGAAGAAAAGGGTCTCTAGGCTAGAGAACTCTACGGTTCTTCACTCAATTTGAAAAAAACTTTATGGCAAAAGGTTCTGTATATAGAAAAATGTCTTAAATGTTTGCATAATACTTTCATTCTAGTGATTTATGAGCTGTTTAATTCATAAAATGTGATTAAAATTTTAAAAAATGAAGTAAAGGAACCCATCTGGAGAGCAGGAGACTTCAGCAAAATGTCATCGCTCTTCTTCAGCCTTCTTTCTTATGCAACAATGATGTGCATGATTTCTTGCTGAGAAAGTGTTTTCACGAATGCTTCTGATTATATATTTGGTGACAGAGGTTTGGTGAGATGGAACGTGCTTCAGGCTGAGACATGCAGTAAACACCTTCAGAAATGCGCCCAGAGCATTGATTAACCCAGTGAATGTGACAGACAGAAACTCTCTCTCTCTGTGTGTGTGTGTGTGTGTGTGTGTGTGTGTGTGTGTGTGTGACCGTATGCGCGGTCAGATGCGCTCATCCACTCGTCCTGGTGTGAAATACTGCGACTGCATGTCTGGGCTGACAGGCCGCTCACACCCACAGAAACACCACGTGAAACGTCATCCCAAACACATCTGACTTCTGTAATGTGATGTATTTAGAGTCTCAGTAACTTCACCTAAGCAATCAGGAATAACATGCACTGTTGAAGCGTGCACAATAAGACCAGGAACATGTATTACAAAAGTAAATCATTTAAAAAGTGTGCTTAAAAAGGTAATTGCGACTTTTTATTTCACGATTCATACTTTTTCTCGTAATTCCGACTTTATATCTCACAATTCCGACTTTTTTCTAACAATTCCGGTTTTATATCTCACAATTACGACTTATTTTCAGATTTTTCTCGCAATTCCGCATTTATATCCCACAATTCTGATTTTTTTTGTGCAATTCCAAGTTTATATCTCACAATTCTGACATTTTTTTTGCAATTCCGAGTTTTTGCCCCAGAATTCTGACTTTTTATCCCACATTCTGGCCTTTTTCTCGCAATTTCGAGTTTATATCCCACAATTCTGACCTTTTTCTCACAATTCCAAGTTTATATCCCACAATTCTGGCCTTTTTCTCGCAATTCTGAGTTTTTATCCCACAATTCTGAACTTTTTTCTCGCAATTCCGAGTTTATATCTCACAATTCCGACTTTTTTCTAACAATTCCGTCTTTTTATCCCACATTTCTGACATTTTTCTCGTAATTCCGACTTTATATCTCACAATTCCGACTTTTTTCTAACAATTCTGGTTTTATATCTCACAATTACGACTTATTTTCTGATTTTTTTTTCGCAATTCCGCATTTATATCCCACAATTCAGATTTTTTTTTGGTGCAATTCCAAGTTTATATCTCACAATTCTGACCTTTTTCTCGCAATTCCAAGTTTATATCCCACAATTCTGAACTTTTTCTCGCAATTCGAGTTTATATCTCACAATTCCGACTTTTTTCTAACAATTCCGTCTTTTTATCCCACATTTCTGACCTTTTTCTCGCAATCCCAGGTTATATCTCACAATTCTGACATTTTTTTCGGAATTCCGAGTTTATATCACACAATTATGACCTTTTTCTCGCAATTCCGAGTTTATATCTCACAATTACGACTTATTTTCTGATTTTACTCGCAATTCCGCATTTATATCCCACAATTCAGATTTTTTTTGTGCAATTCCAAGTTTATACCTCAAAATTCTGACCTTTTTTTTTCCGCAGTTCCGAGTTTTTACCCCAGAATTCTGACTTTTTATCCCACATTTCTGACCTTTTTCTCGCAATTCCGAGTTTATATCCCACAATTCTGGCCTTTTTCTCGCAATTCCGAGTTTATATCCCACAATTCTGGTCTTTTTCTCGCAATTCCGAGTTTTTATCCCACAATTCTGAACTTTTTCTCGCAATTCCGAGTTTATATCTCACAATTCCGACTTTTTTCTAACAATTCCGTCTTTTTATCCCACATTTCTGACCTTTTTCTCGCAATCCCAGGTTATATCTCACAATTCTGAAATTTTTGTTTCGGAATTCCTAGTTTATATCTCACAATTGTGACCTTTTTCTCGCAATTCCGAGTTTATATCTCACAATTACGACTTATTTTCTGATTTTTCTCGCAATTCCGCATTTATATCCCACAATTCAGATTTTTTTGTGCAATTCCAAGTTTATATCTCACAATTCTGACCTTTTTTTTCCAGCAATTCCGAGTTTTTACCCCAGAATTCTGACTTTTTATCCCACATTTCTGACCTTTTTCTCGCAATTCCAAGTTTATATCCCACAATTCTGGCCTTTTTCTCGCAATTCCGAGTTTTTTATCCCACAATTCTGGCCTTTTTCTCTCATTTCCGAGTTTTTATCCCACAATTCTGAACTTTTTTCTCGCAATTCCGAGTTTATATCTCACAATTCCGACTTTTTTCTAACAATTCCGACTTCTTATCCCACATTTCTGACCTTTTTTTTCGCAATTCTGAGTTTATATCCCACAATTCTGACCTTTTTTCCTCACAATTTTGAGTTTATTTCTCAGAATCTGACCTTTTTCTTGCAATTCCGAGTTTTTATCTCACAATTCGACTTTTTTTCTAACAATTCCAACTTTTTTATCCCACATTTCTGACCTTTTTCACGCAATGTTCGAATTTTATATCTCACAATTCTGACTTTTTTTCCTCGCAATTTTGAGTTTATACCTCAGAATCCTGAGAAGAAAAGTCTGAATTGTGAGATAAAGTCAAAAATAATCCTTTTTATTTTATTCCATGACAGAAAAATAAAAAACTCAGAATTTTGAGATGTAAACTTCAAATTGTAAGAAAAAATCAGAATATGAGAAAAACAGGAGTATGCATGAGGAAAGACTCTCATACAACTTTTCAATTCACATTTATTGAATGCAGAAGCTGTATTTACAGCATGCAGAAGTTCAGTATTTACTGCAGCGAACGACCTCTGAGTTCGACCTCTGAGAAAGTCAGAGCCACAACAAACCACACCCATATACCATAATCATTTCAGAAGAGAAGGCATCAGATCTGCACATTCACTGATGCTGATAGTTGAGTTTAATGTGCATGCATTAGCCGTGTCCTGTGTTAACCTGTCTGATTTCTGGCATTCCTGTGCCTCATCTTTAATCAGATGCCCAGGGCGACTGAAGTGCATTTGCAGAAGCCTTAATGACAGAAACTGACAGAAATACTCGTCTTTCCTGTAGACCCAGAACCATCACTGATGACAAACACTTCAGGACGGTCATTTAAAAAAATCTCTGGGTTACTTGGACTTTTTCAATTCAACATCAAGATTAAAGGTTAAAACATTCATTTCACAAGCATTATATGTAAATTACGTAAAGGGAAAGTGTTAAAGTCTTGCACCATTTTAGCAGGTCACTTCAATAGATTTACAAGAACAAGTTTTATATGTGCAGACTACGGTAGCCTATTCAAGTTACTAAAGTTAAAAACTGAAGTTTAATGGCTTGATTAATATGATCAGATGTGGTCCCCTATCGCCAGGGAAATGGTGATGGAAAAAATATGAGATAGGAGGACAAAAATATATTTTAATGCATTTAAATGTAGAATGCATTCAATACATTTAAATCGTCATGCAAATGCATTTCTGAAAGCATTCCCTATGCTCTCTTAATTCACCGGATGTCATAAATCTGCATGATCATTAGCAACAAGTGTGTTTCTGAATAGTTTTAAACATGTAATAGTGAGCTTCCCTCAACAGTGGAGAGAGAGAGACGCCTCCCTCAGGCATGTGTCAGTGTGTGTGTGTGTGTGTGTGTGTGTGTTCAGATGCTGGTCTGTGGGAGTGACTTCAGATCATTAAAACTGCGGCTCTTCCTTGTGGAGTGTGTGTGTGTGTGTGTGTGTGTGTGTCGCTCAGTCCAGTCGCGCTCGGAGGATCTCCACGACTGGTTTCATCTGGAGCTGCGGATCTGATCTCAGGTTCACTTTTTAAACTCCGCCATTTTAGGTGTAAACTGAGGCTCAGTCATGAGCATGTACGGGTCGCAGCGCGGGGCTCAACATGATGGGACGCCGCACGGGATCGCGCAGCGAGATTAACGCGACGCCCGCGTATCCGTACGCGCGCAGTGAGGTGGTGGTGCAGCAGCGGGGGAATAATGGGTACACACAGGAATATGTGGAGGGATACAACCAGAGTTTCTCCAGAGGCTCGATGAGCGCGGGACAAGTGTGAGTAAACACCTGTTGCGTTTGTTTGTTGTGTTTGTGTGTGTGTGTGTGCGCGCGCTTACATAGCAAGTGCGTGCGTCATGTCACCTATCACTGTAAGAAATGATTAATAAGTTATGACAACATGTTTTTACATTGCTTTAACTCATCAAAATAAGTTAAACAATTTTCAACTTTTTTTATAAGTTATTCAAGATTCAACAATTTTTTTAAAGTCAGTTTCATGTCATTTAAGTTGAAATGACTTAAACATCCAAGTTGATTGTACTTAAAAAATAAAAGCAGTGTGCATAATAATTAAAATTAGATTAAAAGTTTGCTTTAACATGCACTACATGCTAATTGACACAAATGAATTTGTTTTTGTCTGCGAATGTTTCAGTTAATATAGTTAATAAGTTGCTGCATTAAATATTTAAGCAATCAACTTGAATGTTTAAGTCATTTCAGCTTAAATTAAATGAGTTGAATCTTATATAACTTATAAAACAAAATGGAAAATTGCGAAATTTTGATGAGTTAAAGCAATTGTAAAAAACATGTTGTGATCATGTAATTTTTCTTACAGTGTACAACAAAAATAAATGTATTCAGTGTTCTATCGAAGAAAAAAATTAATTTTATACAAAAATGGCATCCATTTAGATCATTCAAACTAGTTTTAAAAAACAGCAATGCAAAGAGAAGTTGGCCTATCTAACAAAGAGTGCTGAAGTAAAACCGAAACACTGCTCAGTCAAGGAAGTAAACCTGTATTATAATACAGCAGATGTTCAAAGGTTAATAATATGCACATCAAAGGCTGTCATAACTGTGAGTTATAAAGAGTTATAAAGCTGTATGGTTGTGTAATGTTGAATGTAGGCCTGTGCGGGCAGGTGTATCGCTCTTAGGTAACACAATCTGCAGATTCTGTGTAGCTCTTTGTGTCTGCATGAGTTCACAGGTCAGCCAGACTCGTCCTGCAGATCCTGCGGGATAAGCCCACCGTATCCAGGCGCTCCACAGAAGTGCATGAGTCATTTGGCAGCTACTGGTCATAAACATGAATTACGACTCTGTTGTGCATTCATATGCATATCTCCATTCAAATGAGACTCTCATCTCGGATCGTTTAGAAGTGTCTCTTTTCGGTTTGTTTACTGGCCAAATCTCATTTGTTGAACTTTTGCACTGAAATATAAAATGTTAACTTGTTTTAAACGCCAACTCAAGATATTAATGTAAAATAATGCATTAGATAAAATTAAATCAAATAAAACTATATTTTAATTTGGTTTATTTTAAGAATTTATTTTAATGTTTATATATTTTATTTTCAACAATATGCTTTAAAAATGCTTTATATATATATATAATAATAATAAATTATATTAATTAAAAACTTTTAAATATATAATATTTTAAATATTTAAATATATTTTTAATAATATAGTCATATTTTAATGTATCTTTTTTAAATTACGTATATTTAATATATTTTAATATATATGATGCACCAGATAAAATAAAAAAAAATTATTTTAAAAAATGATTTTAATGTTTATATATTTTATTTTTCAACAATATGCTTTAAAATGCTTTATATATATAATAATAATAAATTATATTAATTAAAAACATAATATTTTTAATATTTAAATATATTTTTAATAATATAGTCATATTTTAATGTATAATTTTTAAATTACGTATATTGGTTTATTTTAAGAATTTATTTTAATGTTTATATATTTTATTTTCAACAATATGCTTTAAAAATGCTTTATGTATATAATAATAATAAATTATATTAATTAAAAACATAATATTTTAAATATTTAAATATATTTTTAATAATATAGTCATATTTTAATGTATCATTTTTAAATTACGTATATTTAATATATTTTAATATATATGATGCACCAGATCATTTTTTATATATATATTTATAAATTTTATTTATATAAACAAACTGTATAATAATAAATAGGCCTAATAATTTTCAAAAATATGCTTTAAAATGCTTTTTATATACATACATAATATAATATTTATATACTTTTTAAATATATAGTATATTAAATATTTAAATATATTCTTAATAATATAATATGTCATATTTTATATAAACATCAAAAATTATTTTGTATTTGTTTAAATTTTAAAGCTGCTTTTTAACTTTTAAATTTGATGCATATTTTTGGAAAAGTTGAAAGCGTTTGCTTTAAAAGTTCTTAAAAGTATATTTTTCCAACAGAAGCTGATATGCTTGATTGCTTTGCACAACATTAAACTGCCTTTATCTAGATTATTAATTGCATAAGTGATCTATAACTGACTATGGATTTCAGCTGGAAACATATATTTGTCAGGTTATAAGTCTTGTTTTCAGTATTCTAGAGATTTCTAATGTTGAGTTTTGCCCCGGCTGGTGGGGCGTCTCTGCGTCGGGTTCGACCGAGAGATTTCCCAGGAATGCATCGCAGTAAATCTGAGAAGAACGAGCTGTTCATAAACCACCAAGAGTCTGTCAGTCGTCTTTGGAGAAGTGTTTACTCCAGAAATATTGCAGGGTGAACAGTGACAAGCCCATTTATAAATCTCTGTCTTGCTTAAACACACTGAAAATTGCATTTACGTACAGTATTGGTCAAACTTTTGGAATAAATACGATTTTTTAGTGTTTTTTGAGTCTCTGTTTTACCAAGGCTGCATTTATTTGATGCGGTAAAAACAGTGAAATATTATTATGATTTAAAATAAATGTTGAATGCATTTTAAAATGTAATGTATTCCTGTGATGCAAAGCTGATCTTGAGTTGTTTTGTGTCCAGTCCTGCCATGCAGTCGCTGCAACAGCAGATCTCGTTTCTGCAGGCCCAGTGTCAGGAATACCTGGACAAGACTGCATTCATATTTAAGTCTGTGAGTAGTATTCACACACACACACACACACACACACACACACACGTTTGACCTTCCACTGTGGATTCAAGCTCATTTCTAGAGTTCACAGGATCATACATGTGCTGTAAAGGTCATGAGAATCACATGTTTGCTGCGTTCATACGCACATAATTAACATTTCTCAGATAATAAAGCACTTGCGTCCCTCATCTGACTGAGTCATTTTGGAGAAAATGAAAGTGAAACACGTGATTAGTGCATGTGTTTGTGCTTAAAACAAGGGAAGAAAGGCAAGAAAAATAGACTTTGCATTTTAATTAAGTTTTTTTTATTATCTTACTATATGGATATTTTCATCTCTTAAAGCATAAACTCACTCAATTTTGATTTTTTTGTTTCATTAAAAAAACAAGTCTTAATATCTTCAGTCATTTTGCTTCTCAAGTACATGTATCTCGATTTAAGAATGTTTAGATATTTGTGCTGGAAAAGACTAAACAAATTAAGACAAAAATACTAAATATTAAAGCTTTTTAAAGTTAAAGTTTGAGCACAAAGTCCCTCCAGCGGCAGTTCTCATCTATATCAGTGTCAGTGTTTCTGAACTCCTGAAACGCCTCCATTGTAGTCTCGAGTTTCTCCCGGGAACGAACACGTCACAATATTCCTCATTATAATAATTAATGCGCAGAATAAAGGGGCGGGGCCTGGTTGAGTTAGTCAGTAGTGTGTTAAACTGGCGGTTATGGAAAGGGGCGGGACATTTCCCAAACACACTCGAAGCGCTCGACCAATCACAACACACTGATCCAGCCGACCAATCAGAGCACAGTGTGCTTTTCAGGAGGAGGGGCTTCATAGAGACAGGAAGTAAACAGAGCGTTACTGACAGACTGGGAAGAGAGGAGCCGCAACAATGGAGAATATGAGGAGAATAATCAGTATTCAAGCAGGAAAACCTGTTCTAGTAGAGCCTGAAACAATACTTTGAAAAATTGGTGAAACATGTTTGTAGTATCATTGATTTCAGTCGTCGGAATAAGCTGAGAAGCGACTAGACGATAATGTTGATCATACAAAGCTAAGATGATCAGAAAACTGATTTTATTTTTGTCTGTTAGTTCAAAATGGCAAATACACAAAAGCTTAAAGTCACACACTCGGCAGGGGGAATGTTTGGATTTGTTGATCCTGGGCTTTTCTGACGGCTGGTTTCTATTGTTCTCTGTGTGTGTGTGTGTGTGTGTGTTTGCGCTGCAGGGCGGAGATGCAAACGCTTTCATGGAGGCTCAGAGTTATCTGGGGTCCGCTGCTGATATCAATGACCAGCTCAGACTCATTGCCTCGGACCTTCACCAGCAGAACCTGCCGTCGGAGAGTGTGATGCAGAGGCGAGACACACTCATGCATTTACATGTTGTGTAGAAACTTCCATTCTCCTTGCAACCTCAGAGTATTATGCTAAAAACACCTCAAACACCCATCATGTTGCAGAGATTTGCATCACATTCGCTTTGCCTTTTTGCCATAATATTTACTACCGAGAAGACCGTAGGAATGGGGATTTCTGTAAAAGAAAGTAATTTAAAAGTAATTTCTGCCTACTATCGGCACCAATTGTTGTTTGTTATATGTGTATTTGTATAACTCCTGTAAAAGAGATTTTAATCTCGGTAAGGTTCTCTCCTGTTTAAATAATGTAAAAAAAAAAAAAATATATATATATATATATATATATTAGGGCTGTCAATCGATTAAAAATTTTAA